AACTAGAGCATATATGTTCTTCACTCTAACGGAAGACTAAATAGAGACACGTGACACAATCTTATTCGTCGATTCGATATTTAATAAATGTCGGTTCGGTGGATAAGATTATGACACGGATATGTTCTTTAGTATAAAGGGTATATACGTTCTAGTTTTTGGACGGCAGGGACATCAATTCCAAAAGTATGACGGATGGTATTTGCATACCATTTACGATAGTTCGGAGACATATTTGCCTTTTTTCCTTCTTTTTTTAGCTTCAACCAAATATTTTCCAAAAGCATATACTTTGCACATAATTATTTATTTATTTTTCAGAAAAATCTCAAGTAAGTGTCCCACTTTCTTCATTATATGACCTACTTTAATTGTCTACGAAATGACAACATAACAGTAACCTATATTCCTAGGGACTACTTTCATTGTCTTGACATGTTTAGTATCTTTCCAAACACAAATGCCACATGTTTTTTATATATAATTATCTAGTATATATATTCCAAATATACTGATCTGATTAATTCAAATTTGTAATGTATAGTATCTATTTAAGAGGAAGCGCTCCTCACGAGGAGCTTTTCTATTCCCGGGGCTCTATTTCGAAACCTAAGGGTGGAGGATTCCATCCATCTCATAAACCGCTTGGTGGGTACATGGTTGTATCTTCTTTTATTAATATTTCCACTTGTATTTAGTACCCCGCTTGTTATTTTATTAATTCGAATTTGTATCAAAAAATTTCACTTAAGAACGTAAAATACTCTCTACTAGAGAAAACTACTTACAAAAGACTCGAACATAAAATATTTGATTAATAATGGAGTAATGTATCACTCCACCACAATTTTGGTCATTCCTGTTTTCAACCTAAAACTTACTGTTCTTAGAAACTGTACACTTTAAGTTCCATAGTCATGTGTTTGGTATGATAGAAAATGTTTTTGATCAAAAATGTTTTTTTAATAATAAGTGATTTTTTTACTTTTTTTGAAGTGTTGAATAACTAAGCGAAAAATATGATCCAAAAACATTTATATGTAATCTATCAATAGACTATGATGTTGAGATGGGACAGAGAGTGATGGTTCGGGGTTGGGGGTATTGGGTGTGTGGAAAAAAAGAGACAATAAACTTAGAATGTCATATACGAAACTTGTTTTCTTTGCTTTTATTAGGAATGAAAGTCATTTCTCATTTTTGAGGAACTTGTTTTCCTTGAGAAAATATATTTTTTACCAACCAAACACAAAAAAATTAAAAATATTTTTTTATGTACCAAACACATGCTTATAAAAAGGAGAATATATATCTAACAATAATAGCATATCCAATGTAATCTCGCATCGTAAGATTTGAGAAAGGTCATATGTACACAATCTTACTCCTATTTTAAGAAAATAAAGACGTTATTTCTGATATACCTTTGACTCAAGTTTAAAGTTAAATTCCTTATGACCTAGCAAGCAATTTTGTGACTATATAATGTGATATATATTTTCATTGTAACCCTAATTTTATTTTAGTGTTGTACTTTTCTTTAGTAAGGTATCCAAAGCATATTGTATGCTTATTATAATATATGCATGCAAAAAAAATAATTACACTAGGTTAAAAGTTGTACATGTCATCAGATAGGACATTTTAAAAGTATATTGTCAACAACCAAAACTAATTTCTGAAAAAAAGAAAAAGATGGAAAAAGAAAAAGAATTGGAGAGGGAGATGCCACGTATATTTATCATAAAATTAAATACAATACAAATGATTGAAGGGGACATAATAAATCTGCCTTTTCCCTTATCTCAATTCTTGTCTTCTTATTTCTTTTAACTTCTTTATTATAGCCCCTCTTGACATTTTAAAGAAATTATTTTTAAAAATAATATTTTAAATTATAATTTGAAATAAAATATTTTGATAAACGAGGCCTTAAATGGTAGAAAATAAATAGTATGTTTATCTTCAACTTAAATTTTAATTCTTTTCTCCTCTATGTATACTTTATTTTTTTTTGTGTTGTCGACGATTATGAGCTAGGTTTTCAAAATTAAATTATTTTATTTTATTATGTTTGATTCATGTCTTCGAAAATAAGTTCTTATTTATTCATCTTCTTTAATCGAGAAATCTCTTAATGTCAGTAGTGCAAGTTTCGAAATACAATGAATAATTCTCTTTCCTTTAACAACCTCCCCCCACCATCATACATATATCAACAACTCCTTCAATCTTTAACCAAAAAAAAAAAAAACTCTTGTGGATTTGAGTAGGCTGGTTAGATATACGATGTAGATTTTATCTCTATTCTTTTTTAATAAAAAAAGTTGTAGTTTTCAATCTCCACGAACCGATAACACATAAAAACAATCATAGTTCAAAGGTATTTATGCCTTTATTTTCTAAGATTTACTTGTTATCATCAACGTCTTTCATGTATTCATTGATTTAGCGTAAAATAGTGGGTATGAATAACTTTTTCAGCATGACAAATAGTGTATGATTTGAATTAAAGGAGCAAATAAATATTAGTAGCAAGTACATTACAAGTGGTTCAAAGTGAAAAGATCCTCCTAGCATGTACCATATAAATTTGGTTATTTCTCAACTTTACATGTGAAATGCAATGCATATGTACTTTACACTATTCTCACATAATCTTCCTTTTTTTCATTCGGTGTTCGGTACTCACATTAGAGTTTGATTAAATCTGTATTTGCATCGAGAAGTCCTACATTGGGGTGAAACTATCCCTAACAAAGGTGACTCCGTATTCAGAGGAATTCAAACTCGAGACATCTGGTTAAGAATGAAGAAGTGCTTACCACTCCACTACGACTCTTGTTGGTTACTATTCTCACATTATCAATTGCTCTTTCCTTTTACCTTTCCTTTATGTTATTTTTCAATTTCTTAATTTACTCCACTTAGGTTTGAGAAGTTCTTTTGTCCTATGTTATATTCCTCAAACATAGACCTTTTTTTTTGCTACACACCTATGATGATTGAATTAATAGTAGGAGGACAAAGACCTATGACCTATATATGGCTTTTCATACACATGGTAGGTCCATAAGTTTGGTGGATTTTAATTGCTCATATCCATGGGTCCTTTTACTCACTTTTTGTTGGATTTGGGTCAGATTTTGTATTGCTAAAGCTAGGGGGTTTTATGTTTTTGGTGTGGGCCTTACATTGTAGATATTTTTCTTCTACCTGTAATAGATTAATATTAAAATTTGTGGCACTAAATTAGACAACCCCATTGTTGAGGTGTGTGGAGGGGGATGGGAGAATAGTCCCCTTTGTACTCCAAATTTGGTCATTTAGTTTAAATAGTTTTATATCTGAACGGTTAGCGTTGCGTTTGTTCATAAAATCTTCATTGACCTGACATATACAAAGATTCTATTTGTTGGTACAATATTTTTATTGACTTCTTTAAAATCTTAAACTCTGCCATTTCAAATTGAAGGTATTGATGCCACGATAGAAACGAGACCACAACTAAGAAAGTGGAGAATAAGATGGTGGATGTTGCAGTTGGAATAAATTTATTTGTATGCATGATAGTTTTAACATTTAATCTTAACTTTTAACCTAGTACAAATTCACTAAGATTTACCATAGTGAAATTATTATTCCACGTGACATAATTATGAAACAAAAGAGAGAGTGTGCACGCATCATCTGAAATTAGTCATGTATTATGCTTACTATTGGGTGATAGTTAAGGTAGAAAACTCATACTCTCAATAGTTCAGATATGAAACTCAAAAGACTAAGATAATTTATATATGTTTTTGACACTTTTTTAAGTTGAAATCAAACTATTGTATGCTTTCCATCTTCTTGTGTTGTATTTGTACTCCCTCCCATTTATGTTATATATATGTAGTCTTATCATTTTTAGCTATCACTAATATAAAATTAGCAACTAACAACAAATACTATACCCCCACCCCCAATCCTAAGCAAATGAAAAATTGACTATATGAACCCTTACTATCTATATCACTTATTTACTTCTCTTGCAATCTAATATTATATACATCTTTTACTTACTTTACTTGTAGATTATGCAAATCAAATTAACATCTTAAACATAAAAAAAAAGACTAACTAATATTATCACTTATTAATCCTAAATTAAGAGGGGGTGTTGGGGTGTTGGACTAAGTAGGATTTTGAAGGGATGGCCTTTAAGGAGACCAAAAAGTTGTCCAGAAGAATAAGTGAAGATGAAGACATCTACTATTTGTTAATAGTAAAGCCATCTGTTTTCCATGATTCCACTGTTTTTTAATAGTTTCCACATTTTAAGCTACAAAATAGACTACTTTTATTTTATGTTTTTTCTCATTGGAAGAACAAATATCTTTGGCCCACAAAGATAAAAGGATAAAATTTTCATGTATTATTAGTAGCGTGCGCATAATTTTTAATAAACGAATAAAGAAAAGAATAAAATTTAATTATCACATACAATTTCTCAAAATAAAATAAAATAAAAACATGTCTAAAAGAAGAAAAATAAAACTAAAAGATGAATGAACTATTTGTCTAGAACATCTTTAATTTGAAGCTATCAAAGTTTTCAAAAAAAGGAGGAATTATCAACTTCAAGAAAAGAGACCAGGTTTGGAGAATTCTTCTAAGTCCTATACAAATAGGAATATAAATCGAATTGACATTGAAGTTATTGGAAATCGAAAATATATTAACGTAATTGCAAATAGAATAATTAACCATATTGATTCAACTTACTTTTGTCAATTAGAAATATGTATGTTACAACTTACAATGTAAAGGTATGCAAATTAATTAGTATTATTTGAATAGGATATTGATTTAACTCAAATTAACTTAGCGCTATTACTATCTAGGAAACTGATTAGCAAGATGATTGAAAATTAAAGCATTTAAATAGTCTTTCTTTTAACTTAGTGTTCTAATGTATTTAGAAGGGTCGAGCCCATTTTGACGGCTCTACTTGCACGTAATCGGAAAAAGCACACCATAGTTTCATAGCACCCAGTTTTGTCAAGAAACAAGATATCAGGCTCCACACAACACAACTAATCTTGTCCATGATGTTTCACCGCTAACGCAACAATTTCATTTTTTCCAAAAATAATTAGGAGAAGTTCGGTATAAACAGATATATATTTCTATAACTTCTATCAGCTTTTACTATTTGCATTATTGCAGGCAAGCTCAGAAAAACGAGCTGTGTGTCTCAACGCCTCCAAGTCATGTGTGTGATAACCTGATTCTCCACTCCCACGTCGCCTGCCAACGAAATCATGTAAGGTTTCCTGTCTAAACAACTGTAGAGCCCCGAAAAACTCAGCAGCTTTCACCTGGAATTGTCGTCATAAACAAGCAGGCATTAGTGCAAACTAAAAGATAGTCAAACAGGAATCACAAAACTTGGAAAACAATAGTTTTCAGGAAGGGCTGAAGGAAAGACCAGGAACAATAGTTTTCAGACAATGTTTCCACGCGTATCTTAAATTAAAAGTAAGCTAGTTGCATCATTTAGCTTATATAAGCTATTAGTAGTAAAATTTGTGAAAGGTTTCTTCTTAATCAAATACTCCATTAACTGATTGTTTTCTCCATGTTCGTCTCCGATGTGATAAAGAAGAAACTTTTATTTTGTGAGTTTACCTGTGCTACGATATAAATATAAACCTCCAGATAAGCATACTATTGAGAAGTTGGTTGAAAACCACTAACCTGTTGGTTTATGGACATCCTGTTTTCGAGGATTTCATCCTTCACCAATCAGAAAGCAGTATTCAGACAGTCATGATCAAGCTTCCTTCTAGAAAGGCAAATCGATCATATTCCCTCACAGCTATCCTTGAGTTATTACCACAATTTGAGCATCATTGTATCTTTGATCATCTCAAGCACGTCTGCTAGGTCACACATGATTTTTCTAATTCATTGTTTCTCCCACAACTGTGCTCAACAAGCTGAACAAATCCCAGACGCACATCTATATCCCGAATGTTCTGTTATACAGTTCGCCTGAATTGGACATGCGGAACTTTGGTTCCTCATATCCATTAAAGAGCTTGTTATAGCCCAGCCTTTCATTTCGGAGGAGTTCAGCCATGCCCATGTCATTTCCGCTTGGGACCCCACCATTCCAGCCATCCCACTGGCCATTTGACATCACAGAGTTCCTACCCTGGGGAAGATTCAGTTGTGAAAATGGGGAAAGATTGTTGGCCAGAGTTTGCTCCACAACCCTCGAAGAAATTCCATAAGCATCATTGAAAAAGGTATCCCTATTATCAGTGTATCTCTGATTCTGATGCAGAGAGAGAGATCTTTGCATGAGAAACTGAAGTCTTGCCTCATTTTCAAAACCACTTGGCTGTGGAGGAAAACTTGGAGACATGTCTAGACTAGAGCCATTAAGGCCATTTTGAACCCTGCCTTTACCAACTGCCAAGATTGCAGGATCCATAAACTCAATGTCCCCATTGTTGACATTGCCAATTGATGGATATTCATTGCGCAGTAAGGAGGTGGTATCAAGCATGTGGGTACCTGCAAAATAACTGATTTGAGACACATCCAAGATTACGTCCAATAATGTAGAGAAACCAACCAACAGTTCAAAATTACTGACCAGAGAGAGAAGCAAAATTATGTTCCATTTTCTCATATGCAAAGCCTGGGGGTGGGGCCCTATTTGGTGCTGAAAACCCTGGAGGCGCAGTCATCTGAGATCTCGACACTGGAGAAATAACCAGAAAATGAGTAAGTTAGGCACTTCAAACCTTCTGTTCCTTGTGGATAATTGCACTCAAACTAAATCTTAAACACTAAAAGGAACAGATAGATAAGGGGATAGAATTAAAAAGAACAAGTGATACACTAACCTGATTGCTTATTAGAGGAGAGGTGAGAATAATTGTTGGCAAAACCATTAGATTCCTGATTATTAAATAGTGAGAAACCATTGCGAGTACCAAAACCATCAAGCTGATAACTTCTGCTATTTTGAAAATCTTGATCAAGAGGGCGATGACTATAACTTCTGTCAATGTAACTTAAAGATGGACGAGAATCAGTAGATGCATTCATGGGTTCTTCCTCCCTTGCAAAAGAGAACCTTGACTGATTGCTGCTCTGTACTTTTCTTGAGTTTGATACTCTAGACCCTTGTTGGTTATCAGTTTCTCCCAACAACTTAACCAAGTTCTGAGAGGCTAATGACTCATTCCATGGGTCGAAATCCATAGACAAAATATTAGATATTATATTGTTCTCTCCCCTATCTGCATTAGTACTATGATCTGCAGTAGCAGTTTCACCTTCAAACCTATTCAAGTGCATCCTCTTACTTTCATTAGACAAATAATAAGTGTCATCAGTGCTTCCCAAATATTTACCCGCACAACTGAATGGATTTTCAGGGTATCCATTACGAAGTTCTCCAATACTAGAAGGCTGTAATACTGAATCAACTCTCTGATCAAAAGTTTGCATGTTGGCTCTAATAGGTCCAACCCCATTGGCAAACTGCGAAGAATAACCCTTAAGCTGCCCTGAAGAGTGTAAAGAGATGGAAGGACTTGATGAGTGGCTTTTCTCTAAAATTACTTCAGGGTCCCTATGTCTCTGTGCATTGAAAGATAGCAAATCATCCTCCATTTCAGGAGCTGTGTCTTGTATTCCTTGATCCTGTGTTTCCAGTCTCAAATCAGACGTTTGTCTTGAGATAATAACATCATCTGCAGAAATCACAGATTTCCCATTCGTCTGAGAAGGCGACAGCTCCCTTGATTTCTCATAGGTAGCATGTGACTTTTGTTGTTTATCAATGCTAAATGATGAAAAATCTGAGCATACATTCTCCTCAACATCTGTGGCATCATAGGGATCTTTTGGTAAACTAGGTACATTGGACATCAAAGGAAGATCAAAGGTATTTGTAGCACTGGATGATGTGATCAAATGTATATCTGTGTCCTTCAAAGACGGGGTGATATCAAACTGACTGTTCATAAATGAAGAAGCAGGACGTATGGCTATATCGGTTTTTTCAGAACTATAGGCTGCATCATCTGCTCCTACAGACTGTTTAACAGGTTCTAACATGTCTATTTTACGTTTCTCTTGACTAATGCCACTTTCTTTGCTATGAATAGCTTTCTTTCCTGCTTCGGCAGGCAATGACAAGACCTGACTATTATTGGCAACAACTGTGGAGCATGTAAGTGGGCTACATATTTCAGCCTTCTGTTTAAAAGGTCCACTAGAACTTGGTGCACTGGCAGGCGGCAGTCCATTAGAACTTGGTGCACTGGCAGGCGGCAGTCCATTAGAACTTGGTGCACTGGCAGGCGGCAGTCCATTAGAACTTGGTGCACTGGCAGGCGGCAGTCCATTAGAACTTGGTGCACTGGCAGGCGGCAGTCCATTAGAACTTGGTGCACTGGCAGGCGGCAGTCCATTAGAACTTGGTGCGCTGGCAGGCGGCAGTCCATTAGAATTTGGTGCGCTGGCAGGCGGCAGTCCATTAGAACTTGGTGCACTGGCAGGTGGCAGGTGGTTATTTAATGCACGCGTCCCCCTATAAAAAATAAAAAAATATATTGTATTGTGAAATTTTATGAACCATATATAACTGAGAACAGTGAGTCTTCTAATTGCATACCACAAAGCGCCAGCAGGAAGAGCAGCTGATCTACCAGGGCTGCTATTTGGTGGAGAGCCTCTCGCATTGGTTGCTGAATTCTGCAAGGCATATGACAAGATTAAAAATTTCAGATATTCAGTATGCAAGACGGGCACACTTCTGGTATCAATTCCAGTGAGAATTAAAAATTTAAGACTTCAGCAATTTTCTACCTAAAATCTCGATAATGTAATCATAAGTAAGGAAATGTCGAGAGGTCGATCATAAGAATAGAGCTTCATATCCCTCTCTTGAGATGCTGACTTTCCCATTCGACCTCCAAATAGAGATTTTTCATTCCCTCCTTCCCAAAACGGTAGGAAGTGCGAAAGGGGAAAATGAAAAAGACATGGAAAAAAACAAAAAAATCAAACAAGAGAAAATCTTACATTTGTAGCAGTTTTACTAAAAGGTTTTCCTGCAGAAACAGAGCTGTTATTGCAGTAATCGTCTGCCGCTGGTGGTAAAACATTCCCTGATCTCCGTTGCATACTAGTAATGGCACCAGTAATTTGTTGAACCCTACTCCTTTAAAATAACTATGTAAGTTAATTATTTATCCAATGAATGTCCATATACAACGAACAGATAACACAGAGAGTGACAACACAAGGTTGTCCCACTGGTCCAGACACAACTATATACTACAGTAACATATTACAAGACCACTGAAAAAAACTGCTTTCAACTGATCAGTGTACAGAGTAAGAGTTGAAGCATATCCTGCAACAGCCTGGAAATGCACCTGTTTACTTAATTTTTTAAAAGTAGCATTGACTTACTTACTAACCACCTATTGTTTTTACAAAAATAAAATTGGGACAAAGTAGATGCAAAAGTATGGTTGCTATTTCCTCAGTCATACTCCTAAACTTTAAGGACTTGATATTCCAATGATGAAAATTCTAGAACATTTTAATGAGACGGGTTCCATAAACTATGCTCTTAAGTCTTAAATACCACAATAACAACAAAACCACCAACTAAATAAATCCCGGTACCTTGTGTAAGCCGATATTACTTCATCCTTAGTAAAGCTATCTTCTTGCGATCCAATCTCGTGCAAGTATAAACAATCAGGATTGGTGCAGGGCTGGACCAAAAGGCAACTCTTCCTTTAGAGACATTAAATCTATTGTGGTTCCAGATAAAAACAAAAGATGGCCCCTAATCAATGTTCTGATGGAAATCTAAGTAATTGAGAAATCATACCACACTCCTCAACCAAGCATGACAGTATTTTGTTGTTCCAAAGCACGCTCTGCCAGCAATAAAGTAAAAATGATTACTAAAAAATAACAGCCCGCGCTGCATATCATTAAAGATGAGGCACACACCTTAGAGGTCGACCGTCCAAATTAAATCCATGTACGGCCTGAATACAACGGACTGCTTCCTCCTCCTTTGAATAGGTAATATATCTGTACCCAACAGAAAAGTGAAAAAAGATAGCTAAATAGATAACTGACCTTTTGTTTATAAATTTAATAGCTAACTGATTTTCTTTTGAATGTAAAGAAAAGAACACTTTTTTGAGGATTTTAAGGACCCGGTTGGCCCATAGAATTTGTCTACTTTTTGTGAATTTTAAAAACCAAATTCCAAAATCTACTCAAAAATTGTTTTTTGGGCCAATTTTTTGGCAAAATCTTTTTAAATTTTAAAACTTACCCCAAACTTATATATTTTATAAAAAATCCCATCTATTAATAACCCCAACTAATTCCAATCTACCCTTTTTTTGGTCATCTGATCAGGAAATGCATGCATGCACGTTGTGAAGAGATTGTTCGTAGAATGTGGGAAGATTATAGTAAAGCATAGCTAGTTAGTGCCGTCGTTACTATTTATTTTTTCACTAATGAATCTTCATAACTAATTGTAATTTGACGAATTATAACTAATTATAATTTGACGAATTGTAGTAGTTACTTGTGTTATTAGTATACAACATACCCAGTGATTCGTGTTATTAGTAGTTTTTAATAAAATATCGTGTTATATTTTAGGATAATGTATTATCTAAGTTCATTGTAAAAATGATAATTTTGTGCCAAGCTTATGGGTATCTTTGCTAGTTTTTCAAAACTTTTGGGTATAAGTCAGGTTTATGTTATTAAAAAAAAAAGTGAAATATGTTTCCAAAAACTATAGCCAAACACATTCTGAATCTTCAATCCAAACTTCACTCAAATCTGGTTTCCTAAAAATATTTGGGAATCTATGGTCAAACGCTAGCTAAATGTCCTAATAAACATCATGAAGTCCAATAGTCATAAAAAGGCAAATCCTGAAAAAAAATTGTTGAATATTTCCATGGGAAACTGCTTGAAACATGTCTTATTGCAAGCTTTCTCAGATGAGAGAAATAAGAACTTCGAAGTACAAGTATCAAAAAGGACAGTATGGGGAGGGGCTGGTTGTATTGTATTCTTTGCTGAATTGGGGAATTGCCAGCAGACTGGCACAGTACCAAGAAACAAGAGGATCCAATGAAGTGGACATTGGGTAAACCGAAGGCTCATACACAACAATTTTCTTTTTTAAAAAAAAAGGTAATCAAAATTATCTTCTTATTTATCCCTTCGAAACACCAGGAAAGGAGAAGTACACTCTTCAAGACTGTACCACTAAAATACTTGCCAAAAATCCTATGAAGCAGAAGAGAGTTGTGTATATTAACTTACATGGCTGAGCCCAAAGGTAAACACATGAATATCAATGTAGTCATAAACATGACGTATGATTGGACACAAAATTTAAACATAAGAAATCACATAAAATGATGTAGAAAGGGTTTTCCAGGATTAGGAACAGGTTTTGAACACAGATAACTCAACACTTTCATCTTTTTTTGGTAAAAGAACACAACTCAGGGTATAGATTGCTTAGTTATTTTTGTGAAATGAGCCTCGCAAAATTCTTTTGGACAGCATGTTAAGAGCATCTTCATATATAACCCTATGATGTAGAAAAGGCTTTTCTAGAATTGAGAGACGTGTTTTGGAACAAAAACAACTCTATGCATCCATTAATGCTTGTTTGTGAGGCTTAGAAAGCCTTGACTAATCTTTCCTATGGCACTTTAACAGCATCTTAATATTACTGCTTTACATGAAGCATCTTCAGAGCCAGTGCGAATTTAAATCAAGAAGCATACTTACACACTGCATGTATTATTTGTGAACTGTTGAATGGCACCAGCAGCTGTTCGAGACATAGACACCTTCAGAACCTTCCCATACTGAGCGAAATATTCTTTCCGCTGCAGAAGCTGCTTTAATGGGGATAAATTTGTTCAGTTTGTTAGATAATATTCTATAAATAAAGAAGTGTCAAGCATCTAGGACTAGGACATCCCCAAGTTAAAAGTTTAAAATGAACTGAAACAAAGAATATCTTAAAGGGAGGTGTTAAAGATTCCAAAATTGAAGTGTACATACATCTTCATCAGCTAAACTGAGAGGCAAACCAACAATATAGACAAGATTCCTTTGAACAACACGCACACTGCTAAGTTGCTTTCTCGAATCAGCTGTTTTACTTTTACCCTTTCGAGATGTCAATTTCTTCTCCGAGCTCACCATCCTGTTAGATGACAAAAAACCTATGAAGAATGCAGAAAACATAGGTCCTACTAATCTGTTAATGGAGTTTGTCCGTGAGAACAAGGATATTAATTCATATTTTACTTTTCACAATTTGCTGCCGTGCCAACAATCTTTTCCTTATTATATGGACTGCGGCAAGCAGGACACCGCCCTTCTGTCTCATCCTTCTCAGCCATTTCCATTATGTGATGCCAACACCATACGCATACCTACAGTGAAAGGGGTTCCAAAAATGAACACAAATCAATTTTAAACTAATATAAAAGTCAGAAGCTCTAAACAAAATTGTTGACAGACAATATTAACCCTGTAATGTTGAACGGCATTTATACCCTTCAAAACTATGTTGTTCATTCAAAATTCAATGCATTAACAATACTTCTCTTTATTTCTCTTGGAACATGAAGAATACAAGGAAACTATGAATAATCTAACGTAACAAATAATAAAATGTATCATGATAATGGTGCTAAGCATCTTCAATTTCCTATCATTATTATGCTCGGCAAATCCAAGATAATCTTCACAAACACTAAGTTTGAGTAATTTGAGATGGTGAACAAATGAAGAGACTGTTGTTACAATCTGGTTATCAAAAGAAAAGGAGACCGTTGTAACAATCTAGTTATCAAAAAACGAAAAAGAGACTGCTATTACAATCTCATAATTGTGTTGAATGACCAGCAATTAGGGGAATTAATTGAGTGGCTATCTTGCTCTTATCAGGCATTAATTGAGTGGCTCAACACACATAAAATAAAATAAAATTGAGTCAACTTAAATTTTAACTATAAACTGATACTACAAAGAACATATATGAATCATTTAAGATATAGCTTCAGCTTACAACTCTCTGCACCAAAAACAAAGAGTTCTACATCACTGCCGAAGAAAATACAAACAGTACCAGGTTACAATACATCATATGTGCATCAACTATAAGCAAGCCTATAACTCTCAGAAGCATTGGCATAGAGAAGAAATGTCGTCCTAGCTTAACCTTTAAAGGGATATCCAAATGTCTGTTACACAACTGGTGGCAACATACACCATCGTAGGGCACAATAGCTGCAAGTTTATCTCAGTGATCTAAGAGACTAAACAATGAGTCATACTTCTAACAAGTGAATAAGTAGCCTAGATATGCATAGTGGTGCAGATTTCCCAAATGTTAATGGATGAGAGTCTTTTTCTCCTGGGGTAAAATTAAATGGATGAGCCAAATATAAGATGGTGTTGGTCCAAATTCCATCAGACAAACGAAATGTTATGTGATATTTTCCCCAAAAAAACTGAGTTTCTAATCTATTCAACCAGCAAGATTGAAGTTATCAAAAGTATCCACCAATCCCTGCACAAAATTTGTGTTCTTTATGACCAAGCAAAAAACAAATGCATTGTAGGTTTTAAAAAATAAAGGTGGTACCTGACTAGCTTGCAGACTATCGGATTGAATATTTGCATCCTCCCATTAGTACAGGTACAACCTAGTAACTTAACCTAAAGGTTTAGGCAAACCGACAGAAATCCTCTAATCTTTTTTGCTGAATACCTAGCTCTACCATGGTCTTGATTCCAATTTTATTGACTACCACCCACGCCCTTGGATGCAACCTCATTGATGTTTATACTATGGTTCCCAAGAAACTATTACAGGTTTCCAACTTCTCTTCGACACCCCTAGGCACTAGTTATTCCTAAAGACCTAAACATCTATATTTTGTCTGTTGATAACCTTTATGTTATATAGCGATACACAATTTGTTTTACAAGTTATAGTCAGATATGAATTTTCTCTTATTCATAGGTCTTCGTATATTGTATAGCTTCCTTTTGTCTAGACTATCACATTCTTATAAGCTACTATTCCCTCTATCACAATTTATGTGATTGTTTGATTGAGTATGAAATTTAAGAAAGAAAAAAAAGACTTTTGAAACTTGTGGTCCAAATCAAACCATAAACATTTGTGACAATAGATATCACATTAAAGGTAAAATGGTAAGCTTACCATTAAATTATTCATAAATAGGGAAAGATGCCCTTTTTTGGTTAAAATAAGAAGAAATTGTGTCAAACAACAGTTAGCTTCATGGTTTGTTTAAATTTTTACATAGACAAGGTTCTTTTATGTAATTAATCCAAAACTTACCATGAAAAGGAAACATTAAACCCAACCAACTTGGCAGGAGGGCTGTAGGCATTCTTATCGTTTATTTAGGCTCCCAAGATAAAAGGAAACGAAAACTGAAAAATTGGATATTTCTACATAGAAAAACTACCAAAAAAAACATATCCAATAGGAACATCTAAGTAGGTATTCGGAAATTAAATGCATAATGGAGTTCAAATAAGGACAAGCAAGTACTCTATCAGGCACTAATTCCCCCCTCTCGCAACCTCTCTTGCCCAATTCAGAGTGGATATGCACAACAATTTCCACCTAAAGCACGTGGATTACAAACCTAAAAGAGATAAATGATTATGAAACTCACACGCATAAGTACTCTAGAGATGAAAATATCAGCTTAGCAGAGCTTATGCACAGTAGAAACCTGTTGCATGATTAATCCATTTTTCACCCCCACCTCTCAAACCCCTCCAAGGTAGCTCCCAAGGTTGATTTATACAATTCCTCATTAAAGAAAGCCAGGATTGCATAAAAGAACTTTTTCAGAAGCAACATTAAAAGGCTGAGTTCCAATAACCATTAAGACAATTTCACAAAAATGTTTCGAAAATTACAGATAGAGTTGTTATCATAGACTCGTTTGAGATGCACTTAAGTTCTGAAGCTAGGTGCAAAAGAGGTTATTTCAACTTGCCTAGAGGACACTTCAGCGCAGGCACTAAAAGGAAGTTGCATTAACCAAAACTACTGCTGCTATGGTAGTTCTTTTCCAATTCTTTTCTCCATATAATTGTGATTTGTATTTACAGTTTTTCTTCTTAGATTACACAAATAATTTTCTTAATTTTGCAGTTCCATTAATAACTGCACAGTGCAATATACGCTTAAGGTCTATACACATTTCCACTCTCCTATCACTTTCAAGACAAAATTAGATGTCTAATAATAAAGAGCTATCACCAGAATACCAGCAAAGCAACTCCACTTCAACCCTAATAAGCATGTCTTGATAGAAACAACATGCCAATAACAATGACTAGTCTTCTAATGACCCAGTTTCACAAAAACAACATGGTTTCAAATTACTCATGCAAAACATAGTCAACATCATAAGAATATTATTCTAGAACTTGAAGATTTACAAACCTGATAGCCACACTTGCAAGGCCTCAACTGCTGATCTGTCATATCCATCTCTTCAGCACAGAGAGGACATGTCTTTTCTCCTTGGTCACTCATGGTTACCTTCAAAACGCAATAAATTAATTCTAAACAAAACCAGTCAAATCACACAACCCCTTCACTCGCAAACTAATTCCTCAAGTCAGTCAAAACAAAAATTCACCTCACATACAAACACCTCTACCAAATCCATAAAGAACCATATAGAAAAATAATACACATATATCAAAGTCAAAACTAAAAACAACTACCAACAAAGTCAAACTCTAATACCCACAAAAAAATAAAACTTTTTTCAATTTCCTTCATTTCTCTAATCAATCAAACCCATCGATCCAATGCAAACACACCAACCCATAAAAAAAATCACTTTTTCCCCTCAAAATCAAAAAAGATTCCAGCTTTACACCAACCCATAATTCAAAATCAAAAACCCATATCTCCAAAACCCCAAAAAACAAAATCACAAACACAAATCGACTAAAAAACAATTAGAGATCTGATTAAAAAATCCCAAAAAAGGTACAAAAAACTAGAGTTTGATTATCGACTTACAGTGATGAACTGGATCAATAGAAGAAGAGAAAGAAGGGCAAAATCGCTAAACGGATGAGACGCCAAACGATACAACGATAGAGAGAGAAAGTGAGAGAACCACACAGAGCTGCTTTTTGGAGTTTTGATGAGAGAGAGAGTGAAAAAGGGGTCGCTATTTTTGGAGTGATTGGATTTCGGGTCACCTAATTATTTGTATGAAAAACGGGTCGGGTCGAAAGTAATGGAGTAGTGGCTTTGCACGGGTGATTGACACGTAAGTGATTAAAGAATTGATCGGACGGTTGAGAGTTATTCACGTTGAGTCTGATTGACGGAGATCTAGTGTGGGTTATGTAGTGGAAACTTCCTACTAACTAAAATAATATTTCACAAGTCATAAAAAAGTTTGATTAAAAAAAAAAATTATTTTTTTTATTTATAAAAAAATTTACACCTAAATTATTATTATATTGTTAAGATAAGCAAAGTCTTAAAGTATATATTATTGTAAAGTATCAAAGTTTTTTTTTAATAGTGTTCTTTTATTTGTTCAAAACTTGATATATTGATTGGTCTTCACTTAGATATGTACAATATTGATTTGTTGGATTTCATTGGATATCTATAATTTTTTATTATAAATTTAAACGTACGCGTTATATTTATTATAAGTTTGATTGTAATTAAATTACTTATGTCTACTTTTACTGCTTCTTTATTTGTACAGTTTGTAATATTTAATCTTTGTTTCAGTATTAAATTAGGGGAGAACTTTTTTATCTAGTTTTTTGGTTTCTTGTTTGGTGTCTAAAGTCTACATTGGAGCATCGACTAAATTCGAATCGCGCACTGCATGGCTTATTTCGGGGTGACGTTTTCAACAAAAAATTTCACTAGGTCGAGGGCTTAAATTTGAGACCTCTGATTAAAGGTGGAGCAGTCTCACAACTGTAAATCAAGGGCGAATTTACTAAGGAGAGAGGGATGTGTTGCGTGAGATATGTTCTCCCTTTTTCTTTTCTTTTTTCTTTATTTTGTTGATTTTTTTACTAGTCTTTCAATACGTGCATTGCATGAGTATATCGAAGTTCTTAATATATTTTTGTGTAAAATATTTTTGATATTATGATTAAAAAAACCTGAATATATAATTATACATGAAAAAGTAATGTAAGTTTTTGTGAATGATCGATATAGATCTTTGATATAGTGATTTATTTGCTATAAAAATACAAAATCATAGTTTAATTAGGTATATGTGATATTTTTCTTATCTCATTTTCACATGATAAGGTCATTCTTAAGACTCAACTACATAAATAATAATACTTCATAATCGTATAATTAACGATATTTAATCTTCACTTCAACATTATATTAGGGGTGGATCTACTAAGCAAAGAAGGGGTGTCGCGTCACTTATTAATGCATGCATAACTCTTATCAGCTATCAAACAATCCGACATAAAACGCTAACTCAAAATAGTAAATGTTATGGCGTAATGCACAGAAATAAAAGACGGTGCAAAACTTCACTACTGAAAACAAAGTTCCCATGATGAATATTGAATCATAAAGGGGTGAAAAAGAAAAAAATACTGAATCATAAAGAGTTGCACCTAAGAAAAACATCAACATCCATAGTGTTAAGATTTTGAATTTGGGTCATAACTCATGGATCGTTCATGTAGACCGACTCAACATACATGAAATTTACTCCACAATCCAAACCTAGACCCACCCAATCCACTAGATTTTAATGGATTGGACATGGGCTAAGTTTGGACACAGTCCATTTACTCTAAGCAGCACAAATTAGTCTATTACTTTGGCCCAAATTGATGACCCATTCAAGTGCCAATTTTTAATTTTTTTTTGGTCTTGATTGTCTTTATGGATAATTGGTTCTCTATAAAATTTGTCAAGATTTCTTTCTTTTTTCTTTGTATAAAATCAGATTTGTCAGTTCAATTTCATCTTTCATTCCTTTTTCTTTGTTGAAGGCATACAATTGTTAATTCTGGTTGACTAGTAATTTTAACTTTGACTTAAAAGCAAAAATATGACATATTTCTCATATTTTGGGGATCATGTGCATAATTAATATATACATAAGTCATAACTAACTAATACACGCATAACTCTAACTAATAACCAAACGACCTTGAAGAATCAATTAAGACCTAAAGCAGTTGATCAAATATACATACACAAATACACATGTGTGCATATATAAATTATTTACGACTTTTTTTTATATGTACTTAATGTTTGCGTTTTCTACCTATCTAGTTGACACGTGATTGACGTGAAACATAAATTTTGGAGGTGTCTAGATGATCATTTTGTAAGTTGGAGTGTTCAACTAACATAATGGAGAAAAGTTGAGGTATCTACACATGCACACTCAAAATTGAAGTATTTACTTGTTTTACCAAATTTGAGTGTTTATTTATGTATTATGCCTATTAAATTATAGCTTCACTAATACTTAACACGAACTCGGCTGAATTTTATTTTGAAGCGTTTGAAATAAAATATTGCATCCGTCCACGTTTATAAACTGAGAGAACCGTTTATGATACAAAAATTCTAAGCAACAATCAAAATAAATATTATATTTAAAATAACAATACAATACGATACAATATATTACCATCGTCCAAACAAGCTATTGGGCACCAAATGTAAGAAGTTTTTTTTTTTTTTTTAAAGGAACGATTAAACTTAAAAGACTCAAAATCTAAAATTGAGGTTGATACTTTTGGGTCTTGGGATAAACCAAAAAGTGAAGAGTGTAATATACAACTTAAAATTTGATTTTAATTAATAGCATGAGTGTTATGTTAATTATTTTCAAACTTAAGTGAGAAGTTAGTCCAATAATTTGTTGATTATAGAATTAAATAAATATAGCGGTTGCTTTCTTTAATAGTTACTCCTAATATTTTTTTGATTAAGTGGTTTCATATAATTAAATTGAGTGTCACCAACCCTTCAAAGAAAAATTTCTACGTTATTGATTCATCATAAATATAAATAAATCAAGTCATCTCACACATCATGTGGTCATGTGGAGGTGTAATAAAACGTAATTAAGTAAATATAATCTTTTTTCAAATAGTTCAATTTTTTTCTATATAAGTAGGTCAAACAATAATTCAAAGCAATGGAGGAAAATCATATTTGTGATATCAAACGTAAATGTTTAGTACTAATTGCTCTTACTTCATCATGCAAATAAAATTAACTTAAAATATTTTGATCCGTGTTTCAGTCCAAGTAATCTCTGAGTGGTCAATAACTCATCCATTTATTAACTATTTTGATCCACTCACATTCCGTCCAACTCGTCTATTTAACACCTCTAATCATGCATTTAATTGCACAATTTACCCTTTAAATGAGTCGATCTTTAATTTATGTCCTTAAAAATTCAAACTTATGCCTAGCAGGACATAGCTAGGTTCTTTAAGAATAAAGAACATAGCTCGTGAAATATTATGATACAAAATATAAACTTATATCCCGAGAAAAAATTATTTGCACATAGGGGAAAAAGTGCAAATGATCCTGCATGCATGATAATAAATTCATCTCCTCTAATTAAAGCGTCTTCCAGCTGGTTAATCAAAGCAATTAAAGACTAACATTTCCATTGTTGCTCAAAATGGAAGCATAATGAAAGTCGTCAAGCATAATTAATTTATTTTTTTAACAAAGGAACAAAATGAAATAATTAAATAAATAGAATTCATCGTGGATATAATAACACCAATATATTCAATGTAATTCTAGTGGAATATGAAGAAGGTAGTTTATAACACATATGAAAAGAAAATACAATAATGAAAAAGTCAGCTGAAAATAATGAAGAAAAGAACAATATCAATAACAAATATATAAGACGATAACCTAAGCAAAAGAAAAAGTAAATTGAAGAATAAGATATATAGTTGGATAACAATAACAATAATAATAATAATAATAATATACTGATATTGAAAACTAGACAACGTTTTACTATCTATTAATCATCTACCCTAATCTTTGACCTTCATATCCTTTTGTCTAAGATCATGTCATCGATAAGTTGCAAATGTGTCATATATTGTCTAATCACTTATTCTGAATACTTCTTCGGCCTATCACTATCTCTCTTTAAGTCTACTATAATCAATCTTTCACACCTCCTCACTGAAATATCTAAATATCATTTTTTTACCGAACCATCTGAGCATCTTAAAAAAGATGTTTAACTTTTTTGATAAATAAATGAAAGATCATAAGAAAAGGTTATTCAACGTTGACCATGGGATTTTCTTTAATTTTTCAACATAATTTGATTCCCCTTCTTGATTAATTATTGCTGACATAAATTATTTAGAAACTTTTGTTATTAACCACACTTTCAAATGTAATCTCAATTTGTATATATACCAAAAATCACTAATCACACAAAGGAGTACATAAATCTTAGCCTTACAAAATACAAACTGAGTAAATACTATTTACAAAGATGCTAATACCAAAACTAATTTAGATCATTATAACACTCCATCAAATAATATAATATTGCACCACTATCTGTATGGATGATTAGTGGATTCCACTCAATAATTATCAAATTTTTATAAATAGGATCGAGAAATAATAGAAGGTACACGGATCTTATTTTTATTTTTATAAGGTAGAAAAATTATTTTTGATAAATCTTTGATTGAAAAACATTAATTATATCTAGTTGACAAGAGAAAATGTCGATTGAGTTCATGTTAATGATTGTAATTTTGGCAAAAAATTACCCATTCATTTTTTTTTGTCCATCCCACCTACTAAAGGCAAAATCAAAATTTTCATTTTATAATTTTGAGTTTTAAAATAATAACTTTAAATGTTAATAACTGAGTTTTAAATTTAATATTTAGCTGAATTCGTAACCTAACTTTTATCTCCTCCTCTGCTCCCACCTACCCCTTTTCTCTATTAATTGAGTCCATTTAGAGATATGTATATTATCCCACTTAGATGATTATCCTATTGCCATGTGAATCAACTTCAAAATTGCTAATATGATCTCATCAATAATTGATAATGCAAGTTCTTATTTAACATTATGATGTGATGTTTTTGCTAACATTTCACATGCATTCACTCTTATATTTTA